TTTTATGTAGCAATGCATCAACTCCTTTTGGAACTGGCTTCCTCAGTGAGCATTTAGCTTTTGGGGTATGCAGACGTGAGAGAACTCATCTATTTTCTTACAGTTCTCTCCTAGCGTGTCTTTTTGGTATACATGGATGGTGCCATATCTACACACTGTCAAGTATGGTGCCTAGCAATTCAAGCACCACCCTAACTCCCAAAACAAACAGAAATAAAAGATGGTTCTAGATCTGGATTGGGTACAACAATAATAGAAATAGCGAAAACAGCTAAATGCATTTGACTGAAACGAAAAATACTCATGTAATATAAGAATCGGTAAGGTAGTCCAGGTAAGCAGTTCACAGTAATCAACAAGAGTTGGGCAAGAAAAACCAGTCTACACATATGTACTTCACTTCATGTTGCAGTAATCTAGGATAGTTTCAGAGTAAAACATCAGAGCTTTTGCATAAGGGCCTAAAATTCAGCTAATTGGGGGATGTATGATCAGCTGATGGCAGAATGCATGGGGCAGAATACTGTTTGGTTTGTATTCTGAACCAGGTAATTAGGTTTTGGTGACATCTTTAGTCTTCCCTATAGCAAATAATTCATGTGTGCAAATAATTGCTTCTGATGTACTCTCCATTAGCTTTCAAAGCCTTCCAGTCTCGTTTTTAAGATTTGGGCAATAGCTGGGAAGTCATGGGTCAAAATTCCTCATGAATTGTGTTCAGAAGTATTCTGATGTGAGACATGCGTCTCTAGAATGGGTTTAGGCAGCTCTCCGTGGCAAAGTTGGATGACATCTGGTTTAACTCTGCAACAACAAAGTTCTGAGTTTTGCTATGGCCTGATGATGATTGCTTTTTGGTAACACAGAGGTGGGTTTTCCACTGGTGGGCATCAATACTGCAGAATAACCTCTCTGCTGAAATACAAGAGGCGCCATCAGCTTTGGCATCCCACCAGCTACTTTTTGTTTGTTTGTTCTAAACCATTTTAGTTGCTATACATTTTTAACTGCCTTGTTTTGTTTGTATTTTAATTCATTATGTTTTTCTGTTTGGATAGAACTGTTTGGTTGTGTATATAAATTATGTAAGAATTTTATGATTGATTTTATAGTTGTAAAACACTTAGAAGCCATTCTGGTGTGTAAGCTGTATATAAATTAATAAATAACTTTAATATATATATATATTATAGTGGTAACGTTTGTGATGTTTGTGGCAATGTCTTACTAAGCAAACGCCTGCAAGCTTCCATGCAATTTTCCAAAGTGTAAAAGTGTGGGAGGTTCATTAGCTTCTAGAATTCTCCAGTGAACATAGTATTCTGATTACACAGGAACATAAGAAGTTGCCTTCAACCTAGTAGGGCCATTGGTCCCTCTAGATTACTACTGTCTACACTGATTGGCAGCGACTGGAGCTGGCAGGGATTGAATTTTGGATCTTTTGCATGCAGCCTTGAGCTATGCAGCCTTGAGCTATGCAGCCTTTTCCTGTTATTAACAGAAACAAAAAACTCTTGTAGGAGCTTTATTCACCAAAATGGATACATCCATGCTTTTAAAATAAATTTGGATATAACATTTTTAAAGGAATTGCATGTTTTGCATTTTATGCAAATGCAAGCATGAATTTGCATGGGTTTGGGGAGTATGCACCAAGCAAAGTGCGGTATTATAACTACTGGCCCAATCTGCATTCTGTTGGGTTTGATGATAATGTGATAGCTCCGCTGAACATTAGGATATTAGAATGAAATTGGCTACAATTATTCCCATCATTCTGTATTTCAGGTTTAAATAAGCATTTAAATAAGCATAAGTATTTCAGGTTTAAATAAGCATCCTTCCTCCATCTCTGTGTTTTGGGTTTCTGTGTGCTAAATTGATTGTAATTAAACATCTGCCTTGAATGAGGGTGAAGTTTGGTATACACCTTTAGGATATAATTCTACAGTTCAAATCTCAACTCAAATTCTGCAGAAAAAAGTCCAGGAAAAAAGTAGAATAGGTTACCTTGCAATATTTATCTTAAAGATTGAGCTATTGAATTAAACAGTGCAATCCTATAGATATCTATTCAAATGAAAGCTCTGCTGAGTTCAGTGGGACTTACTCCCAGTGTGGTGTAGTGGTTAAGCGCGGTGGACTCATAATCTGGGGAACCGGGTTCGCGTCCCCACTCTTCCACATGCAACTGCTGGGTGACCTTGGGCTAGTCACACTTCTAAGTCTCTCAGCCCCGCTCACTTCACAGAGTGCTTGTTGTGGGGGAGGAAGGGAAAGGAGATTGTTAGCCGCTTTGAGATTCCTTAGGGTAGTGATAAAGCGGGATATCAAATCCAAACTCTTCTCTTCAGGTAAGTGTGTATAGGATTGCCTTGGTGTGTCTTCAGGATAGTTTTATGAATTTCAGATTAAAATCCTAGATCAACTGTCAGATCTATTTTGAAAATACAGTGGTACCTCAGGTTAAGTACTTAATTCGTTCCGGAGGTCCATACTTAACCTGAAACTGTTCTTAACCTGAAGCACCACTTTAGCTAATGGGGCCTCCTGCTGCTGCTGCGCCACCGGAGCCAGATTTCTGTTCTCATCCTGAAGCAAAGTTCTTAACCTGAAGCACTATTTCTGGGTTAGCGGAGTCTGTAACCTGAAGCGTATGTAACCTGAAGCATATGTAATCTGAAGCGTATGTAACCTGAGGTACCACTGTATGTAAAGCACACCTTTGTTCATTCATTATCTGCCCTGAAGGCTGGGATGCCAGAACGAAAGTTGAAAATGTATATTTACAAAATAATTTCCCACAAATGTGGGCATTAAAAAATATTGTTGTGTGATGATAGAAGCAAAGCTTCTGAAACATTCTACTTTGCTACTCTGTTAAAAGTCCCTGCAGAAATCTCTGCTATAAAAGTGTCCTAGCTCTGCATCCATATTACACCATGGTGTTTGGGTCATAAGTATTACTATTCCTTTTGTGAGTGGCATCTGTTTTCAATATTTATGAAAATATTGCTAAAGGGTAATATATCTCTTTTGAAAAGAAAATACAAGAGGAGTAAGGGGGCACCACATCGCAGAAAGATGCATGAGACCAAACCCAACAGGTGCAGGAACTATTTATTGCCAGTCTGACTGCCAACACATCTCAAATGTAATTGGGGCTGGTGGGATGGTGAAGAATCAACTTTTTAATTGTAATTACCCTCCAAGCATGGACGGAGCTATTTACTAGCAGAGAGCAAGAATATTCTAGTCCCATGGATTGCTGTTCCGAAAGAAGCTGTTGCTTCCAGTTTTGTTTTATTTAAGCCCCAAAGGATATGGTGTGTTCAGGTATTACCTGAACTTCTAAACACTGTTATCAGTGGAAGGAGGGAGGGGCACATACTGAATCTCCATTGCTAAATTCTCACACCCATCAGACACACCTTTCACCCCCTGACCATCTCCTTGTTGAGCAGTGAAGGTCTACAGGGGGCTTCTACTCAAGCTCACTTGAACATGACTAGAATGCTGTGCAACAGGAGACCCAGCTTTTGTGGAGAGTTCTACTCATGTTCAAGCAAACACAAGTAAAAGACCCATGCTCAGCACAAGAAGGCTGGGAACTGAGCATGGTGCATGGTGCATGCAGGGACATTAGGATGGGGCTTGTGTGTAGGTGCCCATCCTGAGTCCACAGATACAGTTCACATGTTCGGGCAAACACCTGAACATCACCCCAACCATCCCATCACCCCCAACCAGCAGGGCCAAAGGTGAGAGGTTATAGGAACTGGAGACCAATATGTATTGAAAGCACTAGATTGGGGCAGGCTGACATAGGATTCAGCTATACAGCTACAAATAAAACTAGATGGCAACACTGAGCTATGCCAAATTCAATATACTTTTCAAAACGTTTTTCAAAAAAGCATTTTAACAGCATTTTTAAAAAATATGTGTGTAGATTCTACCATGCTGTACAATGATCCAATGATGCACGGACACCTGTGGGAAATACATTGTTTTCTCCATTGCATATTATTTCATAAGTGTGATAAATGGAAGTGGGATTCATTCATGTTCCTTCTTCTTTCTATGTGATATAAAAAGCTGTCCTGAGAGGAACACACCATCTGAACATAACATAGCAGCCCATTAAATCATCATAGCGCTATAATTCTAGGTAGAACAGTATACATAATAAGAAACAACTATTACATTTCAAAAAGTGTACAATCCACTGGATATTGGTTAATGAGACTGGCCCTTTATGTTAAAAGCAGAAGAAAGTGTACTGTCGTTCATAAAAGGAGGCATGAATGTGAAAGCTTTTTATTATATTGATCTTTTGTGTTCTTTACTCAGTGAAGGGTTTGAGTAAACACTTACAATTAAGAAAACAAGAGTAAAGGTTAAGAGATAATATGAAAATTAATTAAATGTAAGATGTAATTTGAAGAAAATTTGGTTTAAAAATTATAAGAATATAAGAGTGTGCAATTAAAAGATGAAAAACAAGAAAAAAAATCAAGCAGAAGTAACAAATTATTAAAGAACCAGAAGGGGAAGTTGAGGGAAGTCACAGGGTGGGGTTTTGTTTTAATTTCTATCTTCTATCTATTCTATCTTCTTTGTTTATTTGATAAATGTGTTGAATACTAAAATGTAAAACCTAATAATTTTTTTTAAAAGATCTTTTGTGTTCTTTAGTCCTGAAGAAATACTGAATGGCAAATAATTCAAAAAATAAGTTTCTGCTCTTTTACTTAACTTCTGCAATTTCTTGCTTAGCAATCTAAAAGACAGAGCCGATGAGTTTTGTTTGTTCTGCCATTCCATTCCATTGCTGACAGGTATTTAGTAATAAACAAAACAATTCAGAAGAGAGTCCAGGCTGCTCAGAGACTGTTAAAAAGAAAGTGCAGTCCATGCTTGCTTAAGTAGACACTACATTGAAAATAATGTTTCCTTTGTTCATCAATGCTCTCTCATTCCTGTCTTATGTGCAGGGCCGCCTCCTCACCTTTGGTTTCCACAGACCCCAGCAATGACACCTGCAATCCCCGATGTTGAAGGCAAGTTCAGTTTCTGTTCATAAAAAAATTACTCATAGATTCTTATGGGGAATCCTAACCCTGCTTTTACTGAGGCCAGCCTTATGAACTGTATCCAGTGTTGTGTGAGCAAAAATGAAGCTCACATAATGTATGACTTTCCCATAAAGTCACTAGGGCTGTTTAGGGGGGTTCTACTGAACATTGTGGGCTATGTCTTGAAGGTTGCAGTGGAATCACCTCAAAATCATGAACCTTGATCAAGTAGAGCAGGATTCCCACCCAATTTCAGGTGGATTCCTCAGATGACACAGTCCACAATGTTTGCCTGCCTCTCCTTCTCCGCCACTCTGGGATGACTTTTCATGGGGAGTACAGGGAGCTGAGACAGGAATGAACATGGCAGCTAGTCATGATGGCTATATTACATCTAGGACTGAAGACATTGTGCTTCTGAGTAGCATCATGAGCAGGCGAGTGCTACTGTGCTAGCACCCTGCTTGTGGGCTTCCCCCAGGCATCAGGTTGGCCACTTTGAGAAGCAAATGCTTGACTACAAAGGCCTTGTTCTGCTCCAGCAGGGCTCTTCCAGTTGCCTTAACCCTTGCACAATCTGCCTTGTGCTCACACAGTATGGACAACCACCCAATGACTTAAGTGGGTTTTAAACAGGTTCAAGTTATAAAAGTAGATCCTCACTCATTTTTGCTACTGCATTCTTAAGACTATTGCTTTAGACTGCATGCTGCAGATTAACAGCCTTGAATATTTACTTATTTTAGCAGTTTTTGTGCCACTTAATTACACTTGACTCTAAGCATCTATATTTTTCAACCGATACATTATTTTTCTCGGCAGTTTTAGGAGCTGTATCCAACAGTACCCCTTGTGGAAGGCGATTATTCCCCTCTTCTTTCTGCAGTTCCCTGTGCTGCCACCACCAGATCTGTTCCAGAGGGTTGGGAAACTCTCTGTGGAAGGTGAAACAGGGGACTACAGGAGAAAGGGTGAATTTTCAAAAATCCACTCATTTCCCCCTTCCATTAACAGAAGCTTCTGCTGGATCAAAGAGGCTTCTGTGAATAGGAGGACAGCATAGACTCAATTGGATTCAGTCTGAAAACAGTCGCCATTTGCTGCTTCATAGGTTAACTGTAAAACAGGCTGGCCTTGTGTCTGACTTTATACAATTTTCTCATTTAAGGTCTGTCATAGAACTGTTTTCTACATGAAGGCAGCCTGTATGTGTCTTCAACCTTTTCACACCCAGGGTCCACATTTAGGTTGTGGCTATTGTCAACATGTCCTGTTTAATGAGATTCCCAGAGGCACTTGATTGACTAATTTGAGAAACAGGATGTTGGACTACATAGGCCTTTGGACAGCAGGTGTCTTCAAAGATTTTTACTGATGAGGGGAGGACAGCAGCGTATTTTAAGGGCATTTTTTTGCAATTATATTTTACACTTCATAATAACTATGACAATGTTGTGAGCACAGTATAGTCACCCTTTGTGAAGTGAAGGGATTTGTATGTAGTACAAAGGCCCATTTCCCTGAGTCAGAAAGCAGTTGTTCAGTGTGCCCTTTCAGGAAAGAAATAATAGGGTTTGCCTGGACGATAATAACATGTGTTCTGAAATAGAGGTGTCCCATGCCATAACTAAATAGCAAGCCATGACAACCCTGTTCAAATTTGTATTGAAACTGCCCCCCCCAAAGAAAAAGATTCTGCAACTTTTAAAGAAGTTTATTCTTTTGCCGAATCATCCTTGTAGCTAGAAACGTTTCCTAATGCTTCACTGGAATCTGTCGCATTTTAATTTGAATCCATTGCTCTCCTGTCCACAGTGGGTAGAGTGAAAAAACAGTTCTCCTTTCTTGGCAATATTTTAAAACTACCAACATATTCCCTCTTAATCTTCTTTTTCTCTAAGCTAACATACCAAGCTCTTTCAGGGTTTCCTGATGTGATTTGTCTTCTAAAACTTTTATTATCCTCATAGTTCTTCCAACTTGTCAATAATGTTCTTTTTTGAACTGTGCTCTTCAGAACTGAATACAATACTCCATCTGTTATCTCCCTCATCTTTTCAGCCTACTCTCTGCCTACAATTTCCCTTTAAATTTTGTGTAATATCTGTGAAGCTACTCAATTCTCTTTCATGTTCCAAGGCTTCATTTTGCAGCCTACACAGCAGCAATATGCCTAAACTTCTCAGGGTAAAATGGCCACAGGGTGTGAGTGTGCGAGACAGACATCATATACGCTCCCCTGCGCTTTGATGGGCAAGAGGAAAATGTAATAAAGTTTTGTTGAAGCATTGTGAAAATCTCCCCTTCTGATTTTTAAAAAATTATCTAGGAAGATTTATATACCACTTAATAAGAAAAATATTCTTGGTTTTTGTAATATTCATTAAATATTCATTAAAAATGAAAATGAAAGCAGAATGCTTTTCTTGTAATGATCAGCATGTTTTAAAGGATCATCTATACACATACACTATCTATATCTATATCTATATCTATATCTATATCTATCTATCTAATCAAAAAGCAAGTTCCTCTGACAGACTGGCCTATGGCTAGAGCAAGGAAAAAAACCAATCCTTGATTCCCAGTTTGAACCTTACACTGTCTGGTGTTAAGCAGATTTTTTTCCCTTGATGTTTTTGATGGATGCAACTGTTCTGCTCCTCCTCGGCTTATTAGCAAATCCATACCCTTTAGGAACTGAATGCTGCTGTTTCAACCTGTTTGTCATTATAGTATATATACATTGTCTTAAGATGTAATCACTACTTTAAGTTTTAAAAGTAATGAAATTAATACTTAGTTTCTATTCTTGAGAAGTATGACTTCTGCATCTTCTTGAGGAGTTTTAGCCATTATTGAATGAACAATGTATGTTTCATATCAGTGGTGGCTGTACGCAATCGTTTTAGCTAATTAATGCATGCAGCTGCAGTAATGGTGAACGAGGCATACACAGCTGAATCCATGCGCCTTGTAGAAAAATAAATGGGCCATATTTTCTTTCCAAGAACTCAGTTATCAGAAGTCAGTGGGATTTATTCAAGAATGGAGAGTCAAAAGAAGGCGATAAATGAGCTCCTTACAAAATTTGACATAAAGAAACAGCATGTTGCGTAGAGCTGGTTGTCTGGGGCTGTAGTCCAGCATTTAAGTTTGAGAAAGAAATGTGGATCATAGGGATAGTCTGTGTGGGCATAGTCTGGAATTATGGAGCACCAAGTAATAACTCTAGAGACCAAGAAAGATAAATTTAGTATTCTCTGGAACGAGAGTGACACTTTGCATTTGAAAAGCTCCGAGCAAAGATGAACAAAATAATGATTAAAAATGGAAGGATAATTATTTCTTTGAAAGCGAGCATTAACGAAACAGTTTGCTGAACTGACGTACAAAATTGTAGGTTAAAAAAAGCAACAAAATAGAGGAGAGATAAATGACAGTTTTCTTCATGGAAAATAGAGCATTTCTGACTTTGAGCGCATTGAGGTGGGAGCTACACACGTGATACAGGACTGTCACTGAAAAGTTTCAAGTTTCCCCTTCTTCATGCAGCAGGCAATTTCTACACATACTCCTACACCCCTCTCTATTCCAAATTTTGGCAAGTAAGGGGTTTTATCTGAGTTTAAGGACACATTCCAGCCAGGCAAAATATCCAAGGAGGGTGCAAAGCTGGGATGGTGAGGAATATGGCCCTAGCAGAACCCCTGAAGAAAAATAAAGAGAGGTTTGGAGGAGTATATTTGACTCCTGAGCCTAAGCTAAGACAACTCCGTTTGCCAGTATATTTTTTTAGTGCACACTTTTAAACCTCCCTGGGACTCAGTTGCCTAACACAAAGTGGATTTGTAATACAGAATGGAGAATAAAAACTCTGCTGTTCATGTTCTCAGTCAATCAATCTACAGTCCCTTGAAGAATAAAAATCAAATGAAATGTCTGAAATTGAATGATATGTTAACTATTGTATCATTACTGAACAGCAGTCTTGTCGCTTACTGTTTCAGTTATTTGTGTGGTGTGTGTGTGTGTGTGTGTGTATGCATGTGTGTGACAAAGCTTATTATATATATAACATGCTTCTTTATACAGTTCTCTAAGACTGTTGTTCTATGACAGCAAACAATAGCTGTTTCAAGCATTTGTCATTCTACAGTTTTTTCTCTTGCAAATCAAAGTGATTGATTTTATATTTTGATTGGCAGGGGCAGCATGGCATGTATTGGGAAATTTCCATTTCAAAGCATTAACAATTACATTAAAAGGCTCACAGATTGCCTTAATATTTCTGTAGTTTTAAAATAGTTATTTCATAAGTTTAGGGGATTTTTTATAAAAGAAAAAGAGAGAGATGATAAATGCATATATAATCATACTATTGCAAGTGTTGGACTTGTAAAATATCAGGATAATTGTACTGCTCACATTTGCAGCAATTTCCCTTACCTCATTGCTAACAAGAATTGAAAGCGTAGTGCATATCGTGCAGGGCAATTCATTCTAAAAAGCTAGTACAGAGATACATACAGAGCTTGGATTCTAGTAAACTATTTTTGTGTGACATGGGCAGTACATGTGCATATTATGCCCTATTTTTACATATAATAAATCGGAGAGAGTTGACAGGCAGTGAGGAGCATGTCCGCATGCAAACAATATCTACGTCAGGGGTGGAGAAAAGGGTCTGGTTGGCAGGCCAGAGACATACCCCCCACATTCCCACTTGGGCCAAGTCTGTCAGGTCATTAGGGCTGTCTACCTGACATCACAGTGAACTCAGGTGACCCATTTTGGCCTGTGCAGTTTAAAATCAAATTGTACAGGCAAAGTCCCAGCGGTCAGCTGATTCGTCTCTACTTGCCCCACACTTGATGTCATATATGATACCAGATATAGGGGCAGGTGGGTATAGCTTGACCAAAATGGCCTTGTGGGTCAGATGGGGAAGTCTGGTGGGCCCATGTGCCAGTGGTTCCCCAGTTCTGGTCTGAATTGGGAGCTCTTCTGAGGCAAAACAGATGATCTCTGAGGTGTGCCAAATGGAAGTAGGGTGCTCTCAAAGCCCCATGGCTGCCTCGGAGCTTCAGACCTCCCAAAGAACTTAGATTCAGACTGCCTCTTTATAACAACAACAACAACAACAACAACAACAACAACAACAACTTATTATTTATACCCCGCCCATCTGGTTGGGTTTCCCCAGCCACTCTGGGTGGCTTCCAACAGAACACTAAAATACAATAACCTATTAAAAGTCTGGTAGTTGTTTTTCCCTTTGACATCTGGTGGGAGGGCGTTAACATACTCCCAAGTTCTCAAATTAAGGACAGTGGAGAAGGAGATGAGGGGTGTAGTCTTCTGTCAGGCCTAGTGTCCACCTAGAAAATAACTTTTCAGGGTTCCCCTTTTTACTTCCAATCATTGGGAGGGATGTAGAAGGAAGGGTCTTGTCTATTGAACAGAAAACAAACCCCACACACAAATTGTTTTTATTCATCATAACTTCTTAAAACATGCAGCAATCCTTCTGAAATTTTTCATCATACTTATCCAGGGGCACCTTTGTGATGTGTGGTATTTTCCTACAAATATCCCCTAAACCACAGGGCTTTAATTCTATCTCAAAATCAAGTTCAAAAGCATGTAGCACAAAGCTACCTGTACCTGCACCGTTAAATAGGCCTGACCTAGCCAAAATGAATTATAGTCTTAATGTGGAGTTTTAAAGATTTATGTAATGCTTAATAATATCTCTGTGTCACATAAACACAATGTTGTTGGAGTTGGCATGAATATAGATTAGTGCAAGGACAGACATCTATCTCAAACACAAAGCATGTTGCTGATTAGTTTTGAAAGACTCTGTTAATAGTAATACATTTCATTTCTATATTCCTGTACTTTTTCATTTCTAACTTCAAAGCAATATTTTATCAAAAGCTGAGCTAATATATAAAATATCTCCCACAAAAGTCTCTCCATAACGGTTTCCAGGGATTTTGATAAGAAGCAAAAGATAAGCATTTGATGCATCAAAGACTTAAGTGAACCAGACCACCTTGTAGGCCCTTTTGGCATTCACTCCTGCGTAGTTTATTTTTGCTTCTGGTTATCCCCACTCCTACCCCAGCAACACAGCATATTGAGGATAGCTTTTTTTCAGCACCTTTCTTACCTCCTCCTCTTGCAGATGATGGATGGGCAGGCAAGCTCTTTCAGAGTCAGCATTAATATGACTTACTACCTGTATCATCTTTGAAGTTTAAGTGTGAAAATACAGATCCTTGCAGTGCATTTCTCCAGAGAGGGTCTCATTTGTGTAACACCATGCCTTGTAACTCAAGTGCATTGCTATATTTAGAGCTTCCCATCACCAGCAGATCAACAGGCTGTTGTTACACTCAAATCGACTTTGAAGGACACTTGGCTGAAAGCCAGCACTCTTACTCCCCTCCTCCTCTCCATCTCTTAAAAGATACTTGACATCACAGGTGGAAAACATGAGATGCTGCAGAAGCCACCAAAGACCATTCAGCACAATATGCCTGACCTTTTTAGGCTTAACATTAAATCCTTCTTATTTTTCTCATCACATCTTTCAATCCTTTACTCCTTCAGAAATAAATCTCAGTGACTTTTAAAAGTTAAATTTCACTTTAGAAAACCACCTTTTTGATTCAGGCAATTTCCCAGGAACCTTCCCCATAAACCTGGGATTCTGCACAGTAGCAGGCAGGATAGGGCCTGCAAAAGAAAATGCGGTTTGGGAAACTTTAAAAACAGTTCTTTGATATCACAGAAGATCACCCTTGGAAATGCTGCTAAGGCCTAAATAAGCTGCATATATTGTGGCAAACTGAGTGTGCAATCTCCTTGATCCAGTAATTCTTTATGTGGGCTGTTAGCATGCTTTATTTTTCCCATTTATGCATCTCTGAGGTGTCAGGCTTGGAGAAGAAGCTGTCATGACATGTTTGGGAGACAGAGACAGGCTAATGCAATGGAAGATTCCGAAAAGAGGCTAGACATGTAAGAGGCCTGGATTGCAAAGCCTATGTACACTTAGCTTGGAATGAGTTCTTTTCAGCCTACTTGCTTGTAAGAAAACACGATATGCCCTTCTTAAAATTCCCTGTTCCCATCAAATGCTGAATACATTTCTCCCACACTTCCAAAGATCATACTTCCGTGCTTTGTTTTTAAATCTTCCCACATCAGCGCCTATTGCATAATATTTCTTACTCCAAACATCATGTTTCTTTGAATAAGCTTAAGAAGTTCCTTGGACTGCCAATGTATTTGGAGTGGTTTATGAAAGCTTACAGAACACACCATCCAGATATAACTTAAGTCCAGTTCCATATAGTGACTAATCTATGTAAGGACACTATACAGACAGGGTGGAATCCAACTGGTGTCCTTGCACACATGGAAGGACTTATGGTTCAGAAGAGGCATCTTCTAGAACAGGATGGAAGGCAACATGGGAGCTGCAGGGGGAAGTGGGCCTTGGCAAAAATCCAGTCATACACAGAACAGATGGTCAACAGGCTCATCAACAGGCTCATCACAGCTATCTGCCAATCACCCATTCCCACCACCCTTCTGAGTAATACCCCTCCCCACCTTCTCACTATATAGAAGGATCTGGCAACTTCTGTTTCAGTGTATCTGAAGAAGTGTGCATGCACACGAAAGCTCATACCAAGAACTAACTTAGTTGGTCTTTAAGGTGCTACTGGAAGGATTTTTTTTTTGTTAGAACAGATGGTAGTTGCTGTTAAGTCTAATAGTACAGATCGGCTGTTGGACGTACAAGGGGAAACATTACATTTTATAAACAGGTGTTCATAAACAGTCAGAGCTTATAATATTAAGCATTCCTTAACAAGCATGTGTATGTAAGAAACTGCCTTATACTCAAGAGCTCAGTATTGTCTATACTGACTCACAGCAGCCCTCCAGCATTTCGGACAGGAATCTTTCCCCAGAGGTATCTGGAGATGCCAGGGTTAAAACCTAGGACCTTCTGTGTTGGTCTGCCACAGAGCGATGGCCCTTTTCTGAAGGTCATGGGTTTATACCAAGGTGCTAGATTTGAGGACTTTTAATCCAAGCAGTATCCTTTTTACATGCAGAATATATCTGTCTTGTAGATATACTTGTGGTGGATTGAATTGATCAACCTGAGTTGGCCCATGCACTGTGGAGTGAAAAGAAAAATGGTCTAAGATGGAGTTACTCATGTGACTAAACAGTTTAATGGAGATACTATTGCATTTTAGATATCACAGAACTGTATTGTTTGTCATACAGGCAGATTCAATTTGGTTTTCATGCAAATTCTGTCAAGTTTCTAAACACTCCCTTACCCTCCCCTATAGTTTTTGCTTATATTTATGGAAGCAATATGCAAAATGACTATGTGGTTTCTAGCTCTTGAGAAAATATCTGTTTTATAATAATCTCTATCACATTTGCTAGAGCTTCTGAGCACATGCTGTGCTTTTTCAGCCTTTGTAATTTATTATTTCTATTCCTTGGTTTAACTATATATTTTTTAAAAATAATATTTATATTATTTTGCTCACGCAGTTGGAAAACCTAATGTGACAACTACAAAGCCAATAAGTAAGTAGTATAAATTGTTGTTTTCTTTTGTTTTTAGGTTATCAGTGATACCTAGTTCTCAGTGAAGCTCTCTTCATATGACTAGTCTAGATACACTACATGTGTGTATGAATAAAGAAGGAATTCAACAGCAAGCTCAGTTCTTGACCTGTGCATCATTAATTGCTCACAGGAATAAATCCTAATGCATACTGAGAGCATGTAGATTCTGTTTGTTTTATTGGAGACACTGGATTGGATCCAAATTGGCCATCTGGCAAAGGGCTTCTTCCATTCATGGAAGGCACTGTGATCCAGTGGAGGTTCCCTTGCGGAGGAAGGAGGATGAGAATATTTGCTGCTTTCTCTTCCTCACTCCCTGCAGCCACTTGTGCCACCTTCTTATGCTACTCTAGACAGGCCATCACACCCCAAAATGAAAATATCTTTCTCACTGCAGTGAGCTATACTATATTTCTCTTTAAAAGGATAGTAAATATTTCTTAATTTACACCTATACATATACATAAGCCATTTTAATGTAAATTTGTGTCTCTTTTATCTATAATTTGTTGGCAATGTGTCAGCGACCACTCCAGATGCTACAGTTTACTAAGCTTGAGTCAGGAGCTCACACACATTCTTCATCAAACTCATTCCAGGGTGGGAGCAGGGGGACAATGCAAAATAAATATCTTCTACTTTCAAAAATTGCAGGTGTTGCTAGTCTAGTGTTGCTCCAATAAGACTACATGGTAAATGACTGCTTACCTGAACAATAAGTGAACTTATTGGAATACAAGTGCTTAGGGTTACTCTAATTTTCCTACTCATATTGAGGCCAAACTTAGATTCACAAAATGTTTAGGGGTATACATACCCCTGCATCCTCCCAGAAAAAAAGCACCGGGGATACACAACCTGTTTCAGACCTCCCCATGCTCACATCGTATTCTTATTTGGACATCTTGCCTTGTCCTATTAAATTCAAGGGAAGAAACAGATTGGTCAATGCAAGGGGATGCAGGCATCTCCTTCCCCCATTGAAATGAATAGGGAAATGCCTCACTGAATTGCAGCCCTGGCATATATTGGCTGGAATTCAAAGTAGTTCTTAGTGGCGATGCACATGGGGATGCCCTTCAGAGCAGATTCAGGGGACATGGGGAATAGAATGCGGAAAAGTTCCATGGCACAAGCAGATTCCACACATCCAACAGCCTAGTTGGATCCCGCCCCTTGTGTTGATATGTACTATCAACTTGGCCAGGCAACATTTGCTACCTTTGCATTCTTTCTGGGTTTGGGTCCTGTTAAGTTCTTATTTTTCCTCAAGTGTGGAAACTGATCCTCAAAATAAAAGATCTATACATTTTAAGTGAGACATGCACAGTGAAACAGTGCCTTTTGCATTTATTCCTTAGAAGAAGAAAAAGCGAAAAAAGTGGTTCAACAGAAGAAAGCTATTCCTGAAGTTAAAACAAAAGGTAAGGTGTTTCTGGTTTTAAGATGTGGCAATTAATTGACCTGATGTTCAAAGAACTCTGCCTACTGTAATTCCATAAGATGCAAAGCCAAATCATCAGCTTTTGATTCATGTTTTAGAAGTGGAAGAAAAGAAAAAGGTAACACATGAAAAGAAAGTTATTCCTGAAATTAAAAAGAAAGGTAAGCTATCTGCACAAGTATGACATTGCTAGATCATTACTGAACTGAATTTGTATGATGGATACTTGTCTCGTTGGATGGATTCAGATAAGCAGTCACTTTAGCCCCTTCCTCTCCTCCCCCTGCCCCCCCCCATGCAGGGGAAGTGCAATGGAGCTACCTTGTTGACCCCAGAATTGCTGCCACTTGCCTGAATAGGGTGGGTGGTGTAATGGTGAGGTCAGGCCTTTTGGGGTGGATTAGCAGAGGCAATGTGGTGCTCCCATCGATGTACAGGTACAATGCTGACCTCACCACTGACCTGCTCCTGCACCATCCAGGTAAATGACAGCAATGCCAGTGTTGGGAGGGCAGCTTTGTGGCAGCATCCCATTGTATTTGCCACACCTAGCCCCATGCCCCAAATCTTCTCCATAGCTCCCTCAAACCCTCTGGGGCAGATTTTGGGGTACTAAGTGAGGCTGGGGAGGGAATTTGCTCTGACAATGGTGTCGATTCCGCTGACAGATTGACACAGCTTAATTTCACCCATAAAGAACGAAGCATGTGGAAGCAATTTGGGTATAGTGCTGACCTAATTGTGTAGTATTGCCTGGGAATGTACTGTACATCTACCTGGCATTAAGGCCTCTAAATATTGAGTGATTTGGACTGTTTTACTGGGCTTTATGTATTCTGCAAACTTTTTTGTAAGCTGTTTTGCATTTGTTTTATAAAGAAAAGCAGGATATACATTTCAAAATAAACAAACACATTACTTGGAACCAAGATGCAACAAGAAACCATGGTTTAGCACTACATATGCATGAGCACCAGTGAGCCTTGGGGTGGAATACAGAAGCGCTCTCTCTCTCTCTCTCTGTCACACACACACACACACACACACTCCATCCCCTTTGCTCCTATGACGTATTTGTCTAACTTTTATGAAACCAAAAATGGTACATGGGGTCCTTATGACACAAAGCCATCTTTTTATTTGTCTCTTAGAAGCAGAAAAAGAAAAGGAGGTGGTAACCCATGAGAAGAAGGTTGTTTCTGAAATTAAACCAAAAGGTGGGCTATTTGAAGGTGCTTGTTTTATATTATATTATTCAACCAGTTATAGTTGGGGTGGGTGTGTTCACAACAGCAATAGCATACTGTACAACATGGGTCAGCAAGCTAAGGACCACAGGCCAGATCAGGCCCAATTGCCTTCTGGATCCGGCTTGCGGACGGTCCAGGAATTGTCGCGTGGATCTCCAGCATGCACATTCTTTCCCTATCCCTCCCTCTCCCTCCCTCAGCAGGGAGACCCTTATTCCCTTTACAGAGCTACAATTTACAGAGTGGTTTAAAAATTGACCCCCCCTTTCCAGGGAAATCTGAGAACTGAGGCTCTGAGGGGAGAAGGGTCTCCTAATCATAACAGCTCTGGGCACCCATAACAGACTACAGTTCCTGGGCTCCTTTGGCAGAAGCCATGACTGTTTAAAGTGGTATGGTACTGCTTTAAATATATAGTGCAGATAGGGCCCTAGTTTGACCCAGAGGGATCTGGATTGGGAACCTTGTTCTATGACTAGGAAACTAAAATAGTTGGGGAGAAGCTATTTAGATCAGAGAATGTCACATTTTCTTCCTTGTGCTTGGTTGAATGCACATTGAAGTGTGTGATTCATATTTCTAGCATATAAAATGGCTTCCTTTTAATTATTTTTTAGAAAAAAAAGAGGAAAGAAAGAAAGCTCCTGAGAAGACAGCTGTCCCCGAAGTTAAAAAAGCAGGTAAGAAATATCAATCTGTCACTCTCTTCTCTGAAATCCCATTATTATATGTGTACATTTTTAGACATTAAAAGTTTAAATTAGGTAGGTATGTAAATTATGAGCTCATTAAATTCTGATTTTTTTAATGTTATGAATTCAGTGTTTTTGACAGAAATGCTTCTCACTTTTATCTAGTTTTCTGCTTTGTAGCTAAACTGCATTTTAATATGTTCTTTATTTTGTTTTATAGTATTAAATATTTTAAAATTGCTACAGCCTCTACATCTACAGAGCAGGTCTGCTTAGGCTTGCAATCAGTAAAACAAAATAACTTCTAGGTGTCGGTTGAAGATTTCTATTAGGAGAGTGACATATGCAGGCAGTTCTTTAGATGAAATAATGAGCATAAAAGCCAAGGCCTACGTAAGAATAACTATGAGCACAATACCAACCAACATACTTAGTTACCTAATGAACAGAAGGAAATAGATGTGAATGTTTGTGCTCACAGATTTTAAAGGTAAAGGTAAAGGACCCCTGTACAGTTAAGTCCAGTCAAAGACAACTTGGGGGTGTGGCGCTCATCTCGTTTCAGGCTGAGGGTACCAGCATTTGTTCACAGACAGCTTTCTGGGTCATGTGACCAGCATGACTAAACTGCTTCTGGCACAACAAGACACAGCAAGCCAGAGCGCACGGAAATGCTGTTTACCTTTCTGCTGCAGCAGTACCTATTTATCTAGTTGCACTGGTGTGCTTTCGAACTGCTAGGTTGACAGAAGCTGGGACAGAGCAACAGGAATTCACCCCATCATGCGGATTCGAACCGCCAATCTTCCAATTAGCAAGCCCAAGAGGCTCATTGGTTTAGACCACAGCGCCACCTGCTCCCTTTGCTCACCTTTACCTGCTCACAGATTCATGCTGCTTTAAACATGTTAAACGTTTTTAGCTACAAGGACATCCGCAAACATCCAGCAACGACATTTCATATAGATGCAAGCTTTTGCATGTGCATCTTCTTGTGGCACAGTAGCTTCATTCATAAAAGGGTGCTGTGTATAATGCCCATTGCTGGATCTCTGAATCCACCAGCTAGGGCTGGTGTTTAAGATCTGTGCACTTAGTGCTGAGCACTGCCAGTCTCAACTGTGCTGATTACCTTGGGAGCACTAGGAAGAACCGGCAGAGGCTATATCTCCCACCCATATACTCAGAATACTTGCATTTGGTTAAATTGTTCCATCCTACCCACCAGCTATGCTGATAGTTCCTGGAGATCATTTCATTTTAATTTTATTATTAAGACCCCAAGGAGATGCCGTAAATACTGAATATAGTGGTACCTCGGGTTACATATGCTTCAGGTTACATACGCTTCAGGTTACAGACTCTGCAAACCCAGAAATAGTATCTCGGGTTAAGAACTTTGCTTCAGGATGAGAACAGAAATCGTGCTCCGGCGGCGCGGCAGCAGCAGGAGGCCCCATTAACTAAAGTGGTGTTTCAGGTTAAGAACAGTTTCAGGTTAAGAACGGACCTGAAGAACGAATTAAGTACATAACCGGAGGTACCACTGTGAAGCCATTTAGCTCAATATTATGGTATACTGACTGGTGTTGGGTCTCCAGGGTTTTAGACATCAGGCTTTCTCTGTCCTGCCAGGTTCTGCATGCGAAACATCTGCTCTTAGTTTTGACACTGCTGTAGTTTAGAACCATTGAAATGTTTTTATCATTGAAGATGACTCTTGAGTTTTGCCTTTGCTGTTCAGCAGACAACTCGAAAACCACATAAGCACCACACTGTTTGGTTCTGTGGTACTTAAATAATAACATTTTGGTGTTAGGCAGTGAGGTTGATGGTCCATTGTCTTAAGTGAGTGAAATGGGTGTCTAGCCTTCATGTCAGTTTGTCAGTGGATGTATTAACCTAGTATGGTTGTTTTTGGAGGTGAACTGACGTTACCTACCTTGAGTGAGTTGCCAAAGCAAAGGTTTCATAGTCTAATTCAATTTATGTGTGTAAAAAGTCATCTCAGGACTGGATATTTTACTGTATCTTTGGTTTCTATTGAAGCCGCCCAGAGTGGCTGGGGAAACCCAGCCAGATGGGCGGGGTACAAATAAATTATTATTATTATTATTATTATTATTATTATTATTATTATTATTATTAAAATCCACCCAAAGTAGATGTTCTCAGCTAAGATAAAAACTCAGGCAGCACTGCATCAGTTGCTTCTTCTGCTACCTCAGGATGTTGTAATGGCCACCAACCAGGATGATTGTGGAAGAGGTTCAGATACATTCAGGAATAATAAGGCTATCAACAGCCACTAGCTACTATTAATCTCCAGTACTATATTAGCAGCAGCATGCCTCCGAAAAGCAGTTGCTGGGCAACACAAGCAGGACAATTTTAGTGTGTTCATGTACTGATTGTGGACTTGTCATAGACAACTGGTTGGCCACTGTGGTAACAGAATGATGAACTAGATAGGCTCTGGTCTGAACCAGCAGAGTTCTTGCATTCTTAAGAACTTCCTTGTTCAGTGCAGAATTGGAGTCAGCCTCCTATGTGTATCCCCCCCAAAATGCACAGAGCTACCTTCAGTATTGCAATAAATGGGGAAGCCATTCATACCTGCAGCAGCTGATCTCTTATGTAGATTTGGGGAGTGTCTACACAAATTCATTCCCAGTCATTACAATATGTTGATATAAGCTCATGCTCATTGCACAAAGAAGGATGTTATTGAAAGTGCATTTTAAATTCCAGAAGGCAAAAAATTTAATTGAGAAACGGCTTTTGTAACATTATGTAAATGTCATATGTAGATATTATAGTATAATATAATTTATAACAATATGGCTACTAGGCATATATAAAAATTGGTTTGCCTATGTGGAACTGAAGCTCTTTTTTTCCACACCAGTCCAAAATCGTGACAAATTAATTCAGCCTCTCCATAGCTACTAAGCCTATGGCTGTGATTTACAAGCAAAAAACTAAAATAAAAATGACAGTGTGCTTGCACTTAAGCAATAATAAGCTTCAGTATTAGACATGATTTACCCAGATTTAAGTTTCATTAAGCGGGGGAAGTATATTTATTTACATGCAAAGGAGTTTAGCACTGTGAGCTGTTTGTTCTTCCATTTATTTGGAGTTTTAACTCAACAAAGGCTCAGGCCTCTCAAAATGTAGTATTTGAAAACCATGCAGCTAGATGTTACCTGGAACATTTAAAATACATTAGCACTAAAAACAAATGCCACTGAAACCATTGCTACAGCCATTTAACCCTTATCCTGCTAAAAATCATAAAGGCTGTCGTTGAAATCTAGAAACAGAACTCTCTCCTAACCTTACAGAATTGTCCAAAAAGACTTCCTGGGTAACAGTGACAGCTACCATCTATTTTCTCTAACAGTACCTGAGTTAGTGATGCCGCATTATGACAGAGCGTTGTTGCATCTGAAGCATTCTGGAAGCAGTGGTGGACTTTGGGCTCCCGAATTTCAGCAGCACCCTGTATGGTGCTAAAATTTGGCAACCCCCCCCCCCACCTCTCACACTCTGTTCTACAGTATTGTTGTGGCACCCCCTGCAGCACATTGCCCAGTGCGATGGAACCAGTTGTGCTACGCTGAAACTGCCTCTGCTGGGAAAATATGACAGCCTACCTGGTTGCTGATTGCAGCAGTTTGAAGTGGTTCTTCAAAACAATCCCATTTCCTTCTAGACGTTTTATCCATCCCTGAATCTCCCAAATTCACTGGAAAAGTTCCCAGTGAACCATTTCAGTCTGGCCTATGCAAAATCACTTGGTACAGAGATCCTCCCTCCCCATGATTAAAATATCTTTGAAAAGTATGCCGGGGACTATAATGCTTCCTTCTAAGCTGCATTCATCAAACTGTTGACTTTGGAACAGCCTCACTAGGGAACCATGCAAAGGCCACAACTTGGTCTCTTGATTCCAACAGTTGTACCCACATATGAATTAGTTGTGAATCATCCCTTTAGATTGCCTTTCTAAATGCACGCTCACATCAATAAATAGTAATGTTTTCGTTGAGACTTACTAGAAATATTATACTGGGAATAATGTAAGTCTAGCAGCAAGAAGCAAAACACCGTGGTGCCATAAATAATAAGAGTTCTTAACAAAAGTGACATGGAGAATGCATTTTACTGTAATCCATACAAATAGCAGTCAATGAATTGAATACAGAAAACAGCTATATTAAATGCAAGTGCTACTATCTAGCTGTTTCAGCCACATCTAACCAATGCACACATCTATGTGCTTCTGAAAGGCACAAGTCTGAAAAAGGAATAATAGGCCCTTGCTCAAAGTGAAAGACCTTGGCTGAATCTAGACATGTATTTTTAAAAAAACGTTACAGGAAGATACATCATAAAGCTCAAAATATAAAATCCCATAGGCTAATTTTGACTGCTCCACAGCGCTATCTGGTGTCACAAGTTTTTAATGCAGTTATAACAATATACATTAATTAACTGAGTGTAGCTGTGTCCCTTGGTTCTCCCATGAGGCTGTGGCAGATTGGCAACTTCCCAAGGAAAATCTGAATGAAAGTAGTGGGATAAAAATACCATTAAATAGGTACCCAAAATTCAAAAGTTACTTCTGTGTGTTCTGTGAAAGCAGCAACAGAGAAATCCCAGACACCTTTAATCAAAAGTAGGCACAACTTTCCTTACTCCTTAGTACATGTGCTCAGGATTACTTGCCTACGATGGCATGAGTTTTCATAGTTAACTAGATGTAGAAGTGGTGTATTAGTTTGTTTCTCTAATCTGCTTCACAATATTTTTTTTCAAATGAGTACTTAGAAAATGTACCTTTCCAATTCTGTACTGCCTTTTTAAAATGGATCATCACAATCAACATTTCACAATTTATTGTATTTAAGACTGCATATTATGTAAGAATGCAGTTTTCGCCCTTCATATTCCACTTGAAGAGAATTATGCAATACAAAGTA